TCATGGGGTCGTGAATCCCACCTTCGTCGCCAGTGAAAAGTATGCAGACGGAGAGTGATTTCAGCTAAGCATACCTTTATTTAGTTCAGGACAAAGACAACTGACTGGCTCGCAGGCCGGTTTATATATGTTCAGAAAACCCGCCACCAAGCATACCTAAACACACCCCCTACTCCCGATAGGCTATTTACAGTAACCGGGCGACCATTGGTCTCCCGGCTGGAAAGCTAGCCCTTTTGATTGGGCCGGCTAGGATCCTCCGGATCCTTTGTCTTTCGACTGAAGCTAACATAGGAATTGTGCCTGGCCAGCCCGGGCAAGTCCGGGCATGTCAGGCTGAATACATTACACACATGGAACGCTGTTACCTTCCCACCGAAATGGTACCTATTTACCTACCTGCAATTTCTTGCTTTCGAACTGCTAAGTTGGCAGAAGCTGGGGACAGAGACTGGAACTCACCCTGTCACATGGCACTAGGGTCTCGAACTGCTGAACTACAGGCCATCTGGTTTGCAGCTCAGCATCTTAACCTCTGAGCCTAATAGGGATGGTAGTATGTTTTAAAATCACTGCTATAGTTATTGTGAAACATCGAAGCAAATTCTCATTTCTCGAAGTTCCCTATTCTACTTCCATCTATCACCTCAGACTTTAGTCCAATCTGCATCTACATTGCATGCCACTTTCACTTTCTTTGATTGTCAGATTTTATGGCAGCCTCCACATTGCATGCCGGTTTCACTTCCTTTGATCTCTCGGTTTTATGGTAGCCGTCTGCATAGATTTATGGCCATTTTATGGCCATTCAGGGGTGACTCTGCAGTCAGTATGGTGTTGGCCCAGGGTATACAAATGTGGTTTTGAGCCAAATCTTTTCCTGTTCCAGTGTGGCTTCGTAAACAGTGGAGCAAATGCTAGATAAAGATTGGGCCTTTATTTCAAACGTCATAAAACAGCATCTTCCTTCTAAATCAACCGGGTCTCTCATCAATCAACCCAAAACATCATTGACTACAGCTGTTTGAATCCTAGGCCACATCCCCTTGTAGCAGCTGAAGAAGTGAGCTCTGACTCATGAAAGCTTATGGTAGCCATACAATTTTTTTTTAGATATAGCTGACTCCTATACCAAAAATGCCTGTAAAACATATCAACTATTGCATATAAAATACCCAGGATTAACACAAGTTGTGCATGTCTTGTTGGACCACACCTGGAGTGCGTTTCTTTAAGAGCTGATTTTCAATAACAACAACTTCATTTGAAAATGGCTGCAGAATTCTAAGGCAGTGAATAAGTAAAATCTCTCAGCAAAACTACTTTCCCATTACCATTAGAAGTATATAAATTTGATTAACGGTAAAGAAATTTTAAAAATTGTTAAAAATCATAGATAAATGATATACCTCAACTTCTCTTTGACTTTTGGATTGGTTGCAAGTTCCCCTCCCCTTTGGTGCCTCTATAGAACAATCTCCAATTATGTGTGGCTGCAGCCTTCCATTCCATCATAACATGCCTCCTTTCAACACCAGCCTCAGGTTACCAGCTCTGCACACCCACACGAAGCTGCCTTATACTGAAGCAGACCCTTGGTCCATCAAGGTCAGTATTGTCTATTTAAACTAGCAACAGCTCTCCGGAGTCTTAGGCAGAAGTCTTTCACATCACATACTACCTAGTCCTTGCAGCTGGAGATGCTGGGGATTGAACCTGGGACTCACTGCAGGCAAACCATGTGTTCTACCACTGAGCCACACCCCTTCCTAAATGGAACGGCTTTCTACTGAAGCATGACTAACGTTATTTGGATCAGGTACCTTGGTCCATCGAGGTTAGGGTTGCCAAGTGTGAATTCAGCTGCAGCGGGGGACTCCCGGCTGGCGCGCGCCAACCACATCCATGTCGCCCGGAAGTGATGCGGGCACACTGGGGGCGGGGCCACGACCATCTGAGGAAAACCATAGAGTTTTCCCTCAGATGACCATGGCCCCGCCCCAAGCGTGCCCGGCATGCCCGCATCACTTCCGGGCGACGTGCACATCGGGATGGAGTTCCCCCTGGGGCCCGATCTGCCGGCAGCGGGGAACGGGCCTCTGGGGCGGGGGTTTCCCCGCCCCCCAGGGGGACTTGGCAAGCCTAATCAAGGTTACTCTTGTCTACTCAGACTGGCAGTGGTTCTCCAGGGTCTCAGGTAGAGGTCTTTCACTGCCAGATCCTTTAACTGGAGAAGCTGGGAATCGAACTGAGGACCTTCTGCATGCCAAGCAGGTTCTCTGCCACTGAGCCATGGTCCCTCTACAAAAGCCATGAACTCTTTCACCCCCACGCCATGAAAGCTATCACAATGTGGTCAAGACCACCTGAAAAAATGGAGCCTTGACTATTTATACTGGCCTGATTCCAAAAGAAGGCCTTCTACCTCTTTGGCCCCAATCCAACTAAAACTAATAGTGCTTAAGTTACACTGAAATCAATCTGACAAGCTAGTCATGACTAACTTGTATTGTGACATATTGATTTCAGGGGGCTTGAAGCATGACTAACATTATTTGGATTGAGTGCCTCTGTGTGTTCCAGGCCCTGCCTGCTTACACTGAGGTCTATTGTTCATCATGCGGAATTTTAAGTTTTACCCATTTGATTACTGTCCAAATGTAAGAATGATGACCTAAAATACTTATTCCTATTACTTTCCTTTCCCTTTTCTGCACTTTGACAGAAGTATGAGAACTATCACTTCCTATACTTGAATGGAAAAGGCAAGAGGACCTATATTTGATTAAATATATCCAAACTCTCAAGGAGATAGGTAGGTAGGCAGGCAGGCAGGCAATGCAAAAGTTTTACCATACTGTGGCATACACTAGATTGTACCATACACCAGAGGATGGCTTCTTCGTTTTTTGAGAAAAAAGAAATTTCATTTTCCTCAGAACTTTACTTAGACAGAGTCCCAAATACACAAATGTGTCACCTAATTGATTTTAACCTGCAGGATAGACAACAGACATTCTTGGAATTATAGTAACCACTGGATATAGTAAGTAAACAGTTTAACAAACCCAGAATGGTACTAAGGGATAACCTAATACAAGATAGGCCCGAATAAAACAACAACACAACACCACTGGTGGTCACATACAGCTCTCAGCTCAAACTAGTTCAACACATCATTATCAACCTCCAATCTATGCTGGACAATGATACTTGTTGCATGCCAGGCCACACCACACGGTCAGAGCATGGAGCGAGTAAGGCAAGAACACCAGCTCAAGAAGCATAGTCAAGGTCCAGTAAAAGGTTATGCACAGAGTCAGTTTAGTCCAGGGGTCAGTCCATACAGCAAGGTCTGAGACTCCAAGAGTCTCAAGCAGGTTCAGGAGCAAGATGAAGGCAGAGTCAGGAAATGGCCCGAAGTGTCACAGGGTAGAGACAGTCTCCAATGCAGTGGTCAGAGTAATTTCAACTTATTGCTTCCACAACTAACAGCCTCCCTTGGTTAGTTTTTATAGCCATATGTTTAAGGGTCATGCTCACAACCAGCTGCTCAAGAGTAACCCTGCAACTACTTAAGCAGTTGGCATGAAGCCAGGAGGCATGCACTTTGTCGTCTCTCCTGTAGTTCTATTCCTAGTCTCCATCTGTGGCACTCTAACGGTGTGGGTGCTACTGGAGGGTTGGAAACAATCAATTGAGTTTCACCTGTTGAATCAGGGCTGGAGGGTGCCCATAGCTCTGCACCAGATGTTGGTTGTGAATCTTGACAAGTCTGCAGCTCATCTTCCTGTTTGTCAGCTTCTGCTGACTCAAGAGCTGGCTCTTCTCCTGAGGAGTCTGTGCTTTCACTGAGCCCTAGCTGACCCACAACAATACTCTTCTCTTGCAGGCATTGGGGGGCAAGCCTTTTCTTTCCCATAGACAGCCTCCTAATCTTGAAAAAATGGTATGAAATCACTTCCAGGAAAAACCCAGAAGTGATATCAGGTCTCTCACGGAATCTCTAGTTTCTTGTGATTCCTAGTGTGGACTGAACAATTTCTAGAGCATGCCTGCTAATCTCTGGTGCCTTCCTAAAATGTAAAGAAGGGAGGCTGGGAACTCTTCTAAAACAGAACAGAATTTAAATACTAGAAACATTTATTTCAATATGAGTTTTCATGCGTCATCTCTCACTTCTTCAAATATGTATTGATCTTCAGATTGAGAATCCTTTATGGGCACATTACAAGAAGGGAAAAGGAGTTAAGGCAAAAAATTCCTCATGAGTCTTTCAAGTGTAGATTCACCGTGAGGGGAACAGGGAGGCAGAGAGGGCTTCTGTTACAGATATTTAAAAACCTGGGCATAAATATAGGCACAAACCTTAAGAGTGAGCTAAAACTAGTCTTGGCCCTTGGTTCCTAGCCCCTCTGTCATGGCCTGTGGCCTTGGGTGAACTGGCCCAGTTGCTCCAGGACCAGCCTAGGAAGTTGGATTTTTTTTTGGCTAAACATTAGGAAGAACTTCCTGACAGAGCGGTTCCTCAGTGGAACAGGCTTCCTTGGGAGGTGGTGGGCTCTCCTTTGGAGGTTTTCAAACAGAGGCTAGATGGCCATCTGACAGCAATGTGGATTCTGTGAACTTAGGCAGATCATGAGAGGGAAATGCTGATAGCCACTTTGGGGTCAAGAAGCAATTTTTCTCCAGGCTGGTTTGGCCAAGGATCCTGGAGGTTTTTTGTCATCTTCTGGATGTGGAACAGCAGTCACTGGGGGTGTGGCAGGGGAGGTATTTGTGAATTTCCTGCATTGTGCAGGAGGTTGGACTAGATTACCCTGGAGGTCCCTTCCAGTTCTATGATTCTATGGTGTTGTTTGTTTTCTGTTGGTCTAAATTGTATTTCTGTACTTTGTAACCCTCATTGAGAGCCTGCTGGGGAGAAAAGTGGGGTACAAACAAGCAAGCAAAAATGGCTCTGCTATTCAGATATTAACAAGTATATTTGGGGAACATACCTATCCGTAAAAGATCGCCAGGTACCACACTAATGTTTGTGCCAGTCCCAGATGCTATGACACGCTTTTTCCGACTGTTGCTGGATGTCTGAGGCTCCTGAAGTCTTTCACCTGGGGGGTGGGATGGATTACATTCCATCTGAGCACTTTCCAGGAATGAGCAATGGGATGTTTGCATCTTAACAGCCTGCTATTTTGAGAGTACAGTATAAGAGAACATTGCAGACCCAGCTGACTATAGGAATTTTGGGGCTCAGCAGAATTTTTCTGAGTTTCAGTTCAAAACATATTATTAGGGATCCAGGTGTGGGGCACAAAACATTGTTCTATTGTTTTGTCTTCTATATCTTTTTCTTTTTTAGCATTTTAAAATGTAAATGGTGCCAAGACTGCTGATAAAAGGCAGTACACAAGTACAGGAAAGACGTGAATAAACAGATACTGCTTTTCCTTTCTAGAGCCAAACTGGAAACAAGAATGACCCACAACCACCCATGCCCACCCATTACCCACTATAAATCAGACAAAATGGGTCTTATTTCCACACACTAGTTTGCAGCTGTTTCCTGGCTCAGCTGAAAGTGACCCTTCAAGCCCTTAATGGCTTCAGCCTACAGCTCTTGCAGTTGTGCCTCCATCTATATGCTGCTGCCTGTGCCATGATCAACTGAGGGGGCTTTTGCTATGGAAGCCTCTATTGCCACAGGGGCATTGAGTGGGGACCCAGGAAGGGCGTTCTTGGCAAAATTCCATTCCCTGAGAGCTTCACTTAGCTCCACTGTTGAATGCCTTCTGAAGTGAATTTAAAAAACAAACCTTAATTTTTTTTTGGAATGCCTATGAGGGATAATTAATTATTTTTATTCCCAGGTTTTAGTTGTACCAGTTTTTATACTTTACTGGTTTTAATTGTTTGTCAAATTTTTATAATGACTTTATTGTGTTTTTGTTTTTTTGTGTGTGAGCAGACTTGCCTGGGCATGATGTTGGGAAAAACAACATCTGTATCAACTCAACAAATAAACAAATAAAACATTGACTCTGGACTTGCCGGCCAGTCGAAGAACAGTTCTGGCTGCAGTTTTTCCCACAGCATTGGTGGCTGTACAAGTATACATTCCGGAATCCTCAGATGAAATGCTCCTTAAGAGTAAGGAACCATTAGTGACTGTAGACAAATGGATTCTTGTGGAACTTCCGTTCTTAAACCAAGCGATATCTGGTTGGGGAAGACCTGGGGGGGGAGGAAATGCAAAAACACAGGCGTTTCAACTCAGAAATGGCTGATTCAAAGTAGTACCAACTGCTACTCTGAAATTTTGGGGGAGGGGAAAGAAAATTATCTAGTGCTTATAATTCAGATTGTCAATGCATTTTTTTCAGTTGATCCATCATCTCCTTGTTAAGCAAGTACTGTCAGGACTTTCAGCTGAAGTGTACTCTTAAAAGTCCCCAGCCAGCTGCTTGGCAAGTTGTTGTTGGTGGAAAGTGCCATCAAAGTGCAGCTGACTTATGGCCACCCCACAGGATTTTCAAGGCAGAAGACATTCAAAGGTGGTTTGCCATTGCCTGCCTCTGCATAGCAACCCTGGACTAACCAGGGCTGTCCTGGCTTAGCTTTTGTGATCTGTCAAGGGCCTTTCTAAGTTACAGACTGCCAAATTTCTCTCCAGTCTCTGGCCAAGCATGTGCAGTGCATGTCAGCCGTCCTAGGAGCCATCAATGCTCATTTACCAAAATATTTACTAGCTAACTAATAGTGCCTGCCCAAGAGTCCACTATTACCTTTAGCTCTTTTCTCTCCACTGGACACAACAGATGCACAGGGCCAGTTCAAGACATATCACCTCCTGGTTTGTGCTGTCAATCATCAGGTCCAAGCCAAGTTCCTGCAAAAGTGCCAATCACCTTCTGTGCCACTGATGGCTGGTAGTGATCGGAGCCCCTGTGGAACATGAGCACCTCAGCTCCAAGCAGCTTACTGGGTGGCTTGGGAGGAGACCCAGCCCTCCAGATGCTGTTCCTTGCATACAGCATCAACCCTGGCCATTCTAGGGTACTAGGAGAGTTTAGCTCCCACAGCAATGTCTAATTATGTGAGATACTTGGAAATACAAGCCAGGCCGAACACTAATTCAGCTCTCTCTTTCACAGATCATTTCTCAAAATTGCTTTACAGGCAATTTCTTCGTGATGTGGAATGATCCTTGAGAGAGGAAACTTTGGCCTTTCAATCAGAAGCTTAGCACTTCTCTGTCCACACCTCAGGTTTTCTTCTCAGTGTAACAGAAACCAGACAAAATTTTATTGGGGGGGGGGGGACATAAATCAAAAGACCATCAAAAAGTAACTGTTCTAACAGGGGCAGCAGCCTCTGGCCATTAGCTAAGACTGCTTATTACAGAGTTACTGTCTTAAGGCTCCAAAGCTTGTTTTCTATTGGTTTTAAACAAACTAGTTAGTGGAGCTATTAGAAAGCACAAACAGTGTTTAAATGGTGGCCTGGTAAATGTTGAACTAACATGGCTTCCCCTCTGGGGTTAATTGTCTGAGAGTTGTTGACTTCATTCTTCACCGTGAGCATATGACTAGCTATTTTGAGAAACAGTATGCTGGACCCTGTGTAAGGATCAAGAAGTGACAGTTAGAACCGGATATGGAACAACTGATTGGTTTAGCATAGGAAAAGGAGTACAACAAGGATGTATATTGTCCCCTTGCTTATTTAATTCATTTGCAGAGTACATCATGCAAAATGCTGGCCTGGATGATTCAGAAGGTGGAATTAAGATTGCTGGGGAAAACATAACAACCTCAGATATGCAGATGATACCACTCTAATGGCAGAAAGTGAAGAGGACCTAAAGAGCCTCTTGCTCAGGATGAAAAAGGAGAGCGCAAAGGTTGACTTGAAACTCAACATCAAAAAAACTAAGATCCGGCCACATCACTCCTTGGCAAATAGAAGGAGAAGTCGTGGAAGCAGTGACAGACGTCACGTTCCTGGGATCCAAGTTCACTGCAGATGGTGACTGCAGCCATGAAATTAAAAGATGCCTGCTCCTTGGGAGGAAAGCGATGGCAAGCCTTGACAGCATAATAAAAAGTAGAGACATCACCCTGTCAACAAAAGTCCATATGGTCAAAGCAATGGTATTCCCAGTAGTACTGTATGGCTGCAAGAATTGGACTATAAGGAAGGCCGAGTGCCAAAGAATAGATTCTTTTGAATTATGGTGCTGGAGAAGGCTCTTGAGAGTCCCGTGGACTGCAAGGAGATCAAATCAGTCAATCTTAAAAGAATTCAACCCTGACTGTTCCCTGGAAGGCCAGATAATGAAACTTCACAAGACTCCACAGCTTAGAGGAAACAGAAGAAGAGGAGGAGGAAGAGGAGGAGGAGGAGGAGATTGGATTTATACTCCACCCTTCACTTGTAGTCTCAGAGCGGCTTACAACCTCCCTTCCCTTTCCCTCCCCACAACAGACACCCTGTGAGGTGGGTGGGGCTGAGAGAACTCTGACACAAACTGCTCTTTTTCAAGGATAGCTGTGCCAGAGCTTGTGACTGACCCAAGGTCACATCAGCAGGTGCAAGCGGAGGAGTGGGGAATCAAACCTGGTTCTCCCAGTTTAGAGTCCGCGCACTTAACCACTACACCAAACTGGCTCTCTGGGAAAGATTGAAGGTCAAAGTAGAAGGGGACGGCAAAGGATGAGATGGTTAGACAGTGTTATCGAGGCAACGAACACGAAATTAAGCAAACTCTGGAGCACGACGGAAGACAGGAGGGCCTGGCGTGATGTGGTTCATGGGGTCGCGAAGAGTCAGACTCGACTGAGCGACTGAACAACAACATGCTGGACTAGGTGAACCTGACCTCAAATGTAATGCTTGTGTTGTTACAGAAGTACCAGATTTAAAGAAGGGGAGGGAAGAAGTCGAGAAAGTATTGTAGAATTTCTTGTATGCAACTCTCAGAGTGGGGCTTGGATGTATTCATCTATCTGGCTTGGCAAGGTAAGCATTTCAAAACTGTTTTGGATAACTCTGTTGGGATGTTCTGTTTCCCTTGAGGTATCTCTTTTGACCCTGACTTTGGATACCCCTGTGGGTATCTGCATTTTAAACAGAAGACATTGTAAAATAAATTACATTTGGAGCCACCGTTTCTCATTTAAACATGGCCCATATTCAGTCATCTCCTACAACCCCCAAATCTAATTTATGTGAAACAGTCCTCCCCCCACCCCCTAGCTTGATAACTTTCTTTTCACTATACATGTTCCACGTAATTTAACTCTGAAAGCTGCAAGGCCTGTTACTGGCAACAAGGCAAGATGCTGCCAGTTTTGTTTCCACTTATTGCTGTCTCCTAAGCTATCTCACCAGTCCTACATTCTTGGATGAGTTTGTTCCATTCTCTGATGGCAGGTTTTTTTATGGTACTGCTGAAAACAAATGAATTAGCAGTACAGCAGAGTTGGTAGGCCAAGACAGAAGGAAGAACCACAAGTGGAATTTATTGAGGAGGTGCTAGCCCGGGAGGGGGGAGAGGGGGAGGGAGGGGGAAATAAGCTGGAATGCTGGAGAAAGCAGGTTCTTGGAACTGCCCTAGATATCCAAACATGCAAAACCAGAACCAGGCTGTTCCCTAGGTCTGTCCCTGAAGCATTCAGACCATCAAGGTCGGTATCATCTACTCAGGCTGGCAGCAGCTCTCCAGGTTCTCAAGCTGAGGTATTTCACATTGTCCTTTTAACTGGAGATGCCAGGGACTGAATCTGGGACCTTCTGCATGTAAAACAGAGGCTCTTCCACTGAGCCACGGCCCCTCCCCAAAGGCACTGCCTACCTTTGCCACTTCATGCTGTGGCTCTGAATGGCTCTGCATGAGGCATTGCAGAAGACAGATAGGGAAGCTCCTAGCCTGAGTGGCTCCTGACCCAATGGAACATTGCCCAAAAGCTCTTTGTTAACGATGTTAATCTTTGCTGCTTTCAAGACTGGGGGGAAAGCCAGAGTTTTTTGTCTTTTAAACCTTTCCCACAGCTCTCCTGAGCATGACACCATTCTTCTGCCTCTCATCATATCTAGTGAGGGTTGCCAATTTTTGATTTTTCAGAGATTGGAGTAGGTCATGTTCAAGTTATGATTCAGAGAGAAGACTTGAATCTGTGCAACTGGCTTACAGCGGGAGGGGGGGAGGTGTTGTCTACAAATAGGAGAATCACCCTGCTCAACTGATTGAGACCGGCTTCAGTGTGCTTCTCTAAAGGAATGGAAAATGCTGCTGACTCCAGCTTGGGAAATTCCTGGAGGTCTGGGAGCAGTGCATGGGGAGGGGAGGGTTTGGGAAGGGGAGGGAGCTCAGTGGAGATGTGATGTCACAGAGTCCACTCTCCGAAGCTTTCTTCCAGGGGAACTGATCTTGGTAGTCCATTCCACGAGGACTCCAGACCCCACTTGGAGGTTGGCAACCCAACCCTACAGACACATATGAGAGAAGGGACCCTGAGGATAAAGCCTGGAGCAGGGAAACAGGAAGAACTGGAATCGCATCTGCTGATGCCACTGTCCCGTGATGTTTTCTGCCAACTCCCACTCAAGAGAGCGGGGGCAGGGGGCCGGACATGTACCTGTACAGTTTTCATCGTTTTGTCCACTATTCCACTGTTTTTATTTATTTTGAAGGCCTGCCCTGTTGCATGGTTTGTATGCCTTATACTGTCATATTTAATGCCTTACACTTTTTAGGGAATTGCTGAATTGTCCTCTGGCTTGTAATTTAGTTTTATTCAGTCTTGCTTTTATGCTTTATACCATTTTTATTGCATTTTCAGTGTTGCTTTTATGCTTTATACCATTTTTATTGCATTTTTTTAGTTGCATTATCCACACTGAGCCTCAACAAAAAAGGCAGTGAAATCCACAATATTAAACAAAAAAATAATTTGGTAATACTGTCAAAGTGCACAAGAATACTTGCACCCCATTCTTCAACATTTTGACTTGAAGTTTCCTCGGTTTCAGTAGGACTCAGTTTTCAGGTACATGCATCGTGCAAAAAAACCTATTTTCTACTTTAAGAGCCTCAGGAACAGTAAAAAACGCACCGGCTGTGAGTGCACAGAAACATCACGCATCTATTTCCTCCAAAACTTCGCACTACAGGGAGCCTGTAAAACGAATGGTGTTTAAAAACAAATTTCCTCCAACCTTAAAAGCTCAAT